GGAGGGCAACGATTACGGTAGATTGACGCCGAGAGAGAACGAGAAAAGGGGATCGACTTTGCTAGAGAGTTTTTAGAAATTATTATGTTATAAATTATAATTTATTATTATTATGTTAGAACTTATAAATTACTAGTATTTGATCCTGTGCATTTGCACAGATATAAAACACGTTTTTGTTTGTATTTATTCATTAGACATGTACTTCTATCATATAAAAATTATTACTTTTTTCTTAAGTTATTTTTATCATTCAAAATTAATTGAGATTTAAATTTTATTTTAACCATGCAACATTTACATTAGTAACATGAACAAAATAAATTATATATTTGTGGCATTTATTTAAAAAAGTAACATAAATAAAAAAATTATTGGTGTTTCTGATATTGAGAAAAAAAAATGTGTCAATCATATCATATTTTTCTTCCAGCAATGCAACCAGATATAGCGGTTACAGCTTTGAACTAGCCAATCAACTTTAAGTTCCAATATTAGCCGTTACACATTTGAATATTTTGCTACCAAATTTAGAATTAATTTAGTAACTGATCCAAAAAAATAAATAATAAAAAAATATATATATATATATATTAAGGTGTAACGGTTTTATCAGATTAGTGAGTAATTGATTAAAAAAAATGCGACTCCTTTTGGAGTGAAATGAAAATAGGTTTCTATTAATTTTTTTTTAAATGCATCAGCTAGTAAATATATATATATATATATATATATATATATTATGTTATAAATTAGAATATATTATTATTGTGTTAGAACTTAGAAAACATTATGTTGTAAATTAGAATTTATTGTCCTATAGAATTTATTTAGAACATAGATATTATCAGTTTATATATTTGAATCGATTATCTTGTAATATTATTTTTTACATTATTCAAAATTTTATTAGTATTAGAAATATTTTTTATTTATGGAAAAAGTATTATTTTAAATATAATTATAAATTGTTATATTATTTAAAGTATATTTTTGTTATAAGACAATAATTATAAATGGTGTATTATTTTTTTTACAGATGATTAGTCAAATTAATCTAAATCAAAAGATTACTTCAATTCTATTTTTAATATATTTTTCTAAATAATTTAATTCTATTTTTTCAATTCAATTATTTTTTAAAATAATTTTATTACAAAAATAAACAAAAAAACCTCGGCCAGCCGCCGGGAGGGTCGATTGGGTCGGCAGACCACCACCGAGGACGGCCGCGATCACCGGCCGGTCGACCGCATGGACTGTCGGTTTCGCCGGTCGACCGGGATTTTTTTTCTTTTTTATAGAAAAGTCAGGCACAAAACGGTCCAAAGGGGACGATATTTGGTACCCAAAAAATATTTGTATGTGTATGAGCATGCATGGATATAAACATATTCGCTCAAAAAGAGTTTATTTCTTTTAACAAGATACAATTTTAAAAAATATATAATTAGTAATTAATGAGATTTTAAATTCATACTAAAATGATATTTAAAATAATTTAATTAAAGTTTATTTGATGTAAAAGTTAGAGGATTATGTGAAGTGATTGGTTAATAAAAATTACGTAAGTAGATGAATAATTAACTAAAGTTGATGTGATTTGCAAGAATAATTAATTGATATTATATTCCGCATTATACAATAGTTCTACATAAAGTTGAATTAAATTTTTAGTATGAACCAGTTTCTAGAAGTTGCTAGGCGCTCGACCAGCGCTTAGCGCCTAGGCGAGGCCTAGAAATCATGATTAAATACCTTATTTCACGACCTATGTAATAAAACTATATCAATTTATAATAAATCAACACATCTAAGTCTATGTAATAATATTAATATATTTAAAAAAACATAATAACATAATAATGTAATTAGTATTTAAAAGAAATTTAAAAAAAAAAGATGAAAAATTATCGTCGAACCCGCCTAGGAGCACCTAGGTCCGCCTAGGCGCCGACCAACCTCCTAGTCGTCGGGCCCGCCTGGGTGCACCTAGGCGTCACCTAGCCGCGTGTGGCCGACTTTTTCAGCCGATTTATACAAATCGGAGGTGGTCGTGCATGCCTAGCGCTTCGGCCGATTTTTCAGTTTCTTTAGTATCGTGTCATGTTTGTTATGTTTTGTTTAGTGTTTGTGTGTTTTGCAAGTCTGTGTTTTTGGTTTGGGCTTTCGGCCTTTGTTTTCACCCGAGTGAGTGCTTTTTTATCTTGTTGGGATCGATTCTCACTCGGGCATTATCCTTTTGGGATCTTTCAATTAGTTGTAGTTTTTGGTTTGTAGTGTTGTGTCTGTGTTTTCTAGCGTTGCTAGTCCGGTTCTAGGTGATGTTCGAGTCTGCCTCCCAATCTATTTAGTCCTTGGTTGTATCTTTCAACATTTGGTTGGTTTTCTTTTCGTACACAATGCGCTTTATAAAAATTATATCGTTCAAAAAAAATAAAAAAACTATGTTAATACACAATGTTTTCTTAAGCTACATATATTTGACAATATATTTATTCTAAAAAAAATTGCGGGAGCAAAATAGCTCATTAAAATGATGTGTGAATTTATGATCTATATATTTAATATTTTAATTATAACTTTAACAATCATCATATTTTAATATAGATGATATATAAATATAAAATTTGTCACCTCACCCATAACCATGATAACAACTTAACAATGTATCATCATAATCCAAAAAGACTTATCCAATAATATTTTATGTCATCCATCCCAATCCAACTATGAAATAAAATATATTCAACAAAATAAACACAATTTGACAGTAATAATAATAATAATAACAATAAAGAAAAAAGGAAACAA